TACGTACCTACATTAACGGGACACTCCAGCATCGTTCAGCTTATTTGACATGAGGGCTACAGCTCAGCCCACGGAACAGCAAACAGCAGTATAATGTTATTTGTGGCTCTGGAGGAGCTTCCAAAGTTTAAAAAAAAAAAAAAGAAATAAATAACACTGATCACATCATCAGCATCATCTCGACTTGGCCTTGAGACGTTCATTTGTGACTCATCTCTTCCTGTTGTTGAATATCATAAGAGATCTGGCATGGACAAAATTGCGCACAATCCCATCCTGCTGGGTTCTGACATTTTTCTCTAATGCAACCTCTTTCGGTGATTTCGACTGCTAACACTTCAGCGTCAAATTACTTTGTAATTTCTAGAGAAAGAGGTTGTTTTTCCACTTGACCCACCAGCGCGTCGAGAAGCTGTGATATTTGATACTCCGCTGTTGCTTTTCCATTTATCCTTCAGTTAACCGCTCCTGAGATTAAACATCGCATTTAGCGGGGGCCAGAAAAAACAGAAGCAGCGATCAACTAAAACATTTGCACCGACACGTTAATGCGATTCACGCAGTAAACCGATCGTAGCAGAAATCTGTTTCTTCACCTCCTAGTCGAGAGGAAAACAGTTACATCCCAGCCAGCCCTGCTGCACCGAGTATCTTTGTGTTTGTGTGTGTGAGTGTGTGAGTGTGTGTGTGTGCATCTGTGTCTATATCCCTGGCAATCCCCATGAAAATACCATGTGGCTACAGTGCAGCCTATCACAAGAGGGAGACAGTTGCCGTGCTTCTGGATGCACTGAAGGAGCTGTCCATTTCAGCACCACGGAGAGGCAGCAGTAACCACGGATGTTAGAACACAAACAAACAACAATTACACAAACTGCAGAACATATTTAGCGGTTCAACTAAAAATATACAGAAGCAATCCAGTCATACATATAGATTAGGGCTACATTTATCCAGATATTTCCAAACGTTTGCACGTCATCTGTAGGAACCCATACCATGCTTTACCATTTAAGGGAATTAATTCTGCGGTACGTGCTGTAAAGGTCTTTGCAACATGTCTGGAAATATATTTGAGTGGTTGTGACAGCATTAGAATCATTGTCTTTTCTGCAAGGCGAGGGGATGTGAAACATATGACAGAGTCAAGCATACAGTGCATGGATCAGTGAGTTTTACAGCCTCGCCCATCTATTTCTGTTCAAGCCACCCAGGCCCTTAACCGCTCTGTCAGGTGTTTTACACTCACTGCTCCTCACCCCTTTCATCACTTGTGTCTTCCCTCTCACAAGGAATTTAAAACATGCATCAGCCTGCTGGAAAATAATCATAACACACCGATGATGATAATTTGACACCTTATTGATCCCGCTCAGACAACTGTCTTTTATTTTTTTTTTTTTCTTGCCCCTCCCCTTCATCTCTAAGGTCAGATGTTAGAGGTCACATACAGAGCAGCACCCCAGGGGGTAGTAGGGAACTGGTGATGCTGCAGGAAGCTTCAGCAGAGAGCACATCTTCTGAAGCATCTGATGAAACGGAGCCGTGTCTCACCAAGCAAATAAACAACTGGATTAAACCGTACATTCAAGTCTGGGATTCCTTCAGTAGCTGCAACAGCATCATCCTTAATAAGGGATTTGTTCTACATTCAGATCTTATTTTAACAGTGTCATTGCTAACATTGAGGTCAAAGGCTTTCCATTTTTGGGGACCTGCAGGGGTTGAGTAAAGATGGGAAACATTCCACCGGTAAAAGCTCATATATGGACAGACTAATGGGCTTAAAATGTGTTTCTTTCTTTCACTTCTTAAGTAATTTAGATTGATGCTTACTGTGGAGCTACTTCTGCGTTTACCGGCTTCACCAACCTTGCTTGTTGCTCTCTCTCTGCTATCTCTTCCTCGCTCACCTTTACCCTCACATGAACTGGTCGAGGCAGATCCTAATAAAAGGACATTTCTTCTTACCGTTGTTGCTGCTCAAAGGGAATCTCTGGGTTCGTTGGGTTTCTCCCTCTATGACACAGTCTTGATCTGACTTTCATGATCACATGTTAAGCGCCTTGAGACGACTTATGATGTGAACTGGTGCTGCAGAACTGAATTGAATTGAAACCTCTGCTTTATTATTGGCTGTATTTTACCTTTACAATTAGAAATAAATGTCTGAATAATGTTCATACAAACAGCTGCAACTGAGCTCTATAACTAGAGAGCTATAAAGCGTACTAGCTATACAGGAAATTCGGCATAGAAATGAATAATTCAAACATTTTAGAGACTTATCTTTGGCCTCAGGCTGCAAGGTGGTGCAGTTGGTTAGCACCGTTGCCTCGCAGTCGTCGGTTCGCGTCCTAGTGGGGGCACTGAGATCTTTCTACGTAGAGTTTGCATGTTCTCCCCGTGCAGTGTGGGTTCTCTCCGGGTTCTCCGGCTTCCTCCCACGAGTCCAAAAACACGTTGAGGGTAATTGGTGTCCCCTGCCTTCACCCTGAGTCAGCTGGGATAGACTCCAGCCCCCCGAGACCCTCGTGAGGATTAAGCGGTGTATAGATAATGGATGGATGGATGGATGGATGGAAATTTGGAGAATGTTTTTTATACTTTCAGTTCTTTAAGTCGGTAGATTTGTGATTCTTGTCTATTTATTCTTTTATCCCATTTAATCTACTTTTGAAGATCATTTTATTCCCAAATGGTTTTTAATTTTCCTTAAATTTCCGAAAAAAAAATTAAGGGAAACGTTTGTGCTATGCTGCTTCAATGCTGAAACTGTGTTAAAAGTAAAGCACCCCTAAAAGACCCCAAAGAAAAGAAAACGACCAAAAAAACAACGGGACAGGACATTTTATTTAATTTTTTCCCCACCGTGAGGCCAATTACTTTTTCTTTCATAAATGAAACACAGAGATTCAGAATCTTTAGATGAACTGACTTGAAAAAGACATTTTTTGCAGTGCGCTTGTTTTTGCGTAAAGTGCTGCTGCTGCGCACGGAACATCTCCCTCTCTCTCTCTCTCTCTCTCTCTCTCTCTCTCTGGCTGTGTCGATTTTTTTCATCCTCTGCTCCTAACCATCATCCACCCCCTCCTCCTCCTCTCCTCTCTCCACTTCTATCTCAGCTCTGCGAAGAAGAAAACCGAGGAAACCAAGGATTGGTGTGTTGCTCGTCTTGAAAATTTTCCTCATTTTTGCGCACACAGCTCCCCCCCGACGCCTGACAAGCCTCGCCACCAAATTGCTGCTTTTTGATGATTTCTCATCATTTTTTATGTGATGACAGTAGACGGCTGTGCGTGTGTGTGCGCTCGTTGTTCTCCGGTTGGCCGTGATATAACCGTCTAGGATCGTTTGGATGCAGGAGGAAGACGCTCTGACGCTCCGGGAAGCTTCGTCCATCCCTCCGTGTCCTCCTCGTTCCTGCGACCGGCTGCATGACCGGTGATGCTCGGCCTCTCCGCCTGGATGCGCCCCTCTCTCCGCGGTGTGCCGTCGGTACCGCTGCCCGTATCCCCCTATAGCAGATTTCCACTGTTGCCGGAGAAAGGTCTAGGGACCACATATGGAAACTGGGGATCAGAATTTTAGGAAAAAGGAAAACTAAGCAGGCTGTCGTTTGATTTTCATAACTTAATATTTTTTCTTCTCCTCCTGGCTTGATTTTTTCCTTTTTATTATTTTTAAATTATTCTTATTATTATTTGGAGAGGGGGGTTGATCGTCCCTGGTTGGTTTATTTTCCATCATCTCTTAAGGAATGGCTGGTTTTCATGGCAGTCATGGTACCGGCTGATATTTGCCATTATTTATCATTCTGTCCTTGATTTTTTTTTGGGGAAGCGCTTGATTGTGCCGCTTTGAATCTGTTCTTTCATTTCTTCCAGCACATCCAGTCCTGATTTTCTCCACATATTCTGGGCCCTGCCTGTCTTGTCTTGCCTGTCTCCCATCACCCTCTTCCCACAGAATACATGTGATAGCCTGATTCTTCAGAAATGCCCGAGATGAACCTCCATACTTCACTGATCCACTGGGTTGCATCAAGATAGTCAGATCTCATCACTGAATTGTGTCATCATCCGTTGGAGGTCTCTGCTTTTGTTTCTATTGGGGGCTATTTTAAAGAAATCAGGCCGCCAACTGTGTTAGTCTTAACCACACTCCACCCCCACCCCCGTGTTTCTTCATCCCTTTTCAGTATGAATTAATTCACACTGCGTGCATGCGGGTGCTCGTCCATGTACAGGTGTGTGAAAGTTTAAGTCTGTGAGCGAGTGTGTGTGTGTGTGTCTGTGTGTGTGAGCAGGAGAATGACAGTGTAGGCTGTATGTGACGGCCTGTGTGGGGGGGGACAAGAAGCGCTACATACACATCATTCCATACACCGTTGAAGCTGTGAGGATTGTAATACATGCTACTGCTTTAGTCAGCTCAGAAAGCCAAAACCAGGCCCGAAACAGCCACCGAGAAGAAGCCGAGCGAAATCCTCCATCTTCTCATTATCTCGGCCTTTTTCAGAGTTTGACGTTTAGAGGCCTTCCAACTCAACAAAGTAGGCCTAGATCCCAGACCAGGTCTCTTGTGGGCTCTGCTAGAAGCCTGTGTTTTTAGGTCAACATTTTTTTTTTTTTTTTTTTTCCAGAGCAGGGCAACTTACTGCCATTTGAGGACTAGAATTTAGGCAGCTGAGGGTTCTGTCGTCATCGCCAAAGTCTGTTTGACCCATCTGTTGGGCCAAACAGCCGCAAAAGCCACCTCAAATCCTCAACCTTATCTTTAATTTTCACCTGTTTGCTGCCCCCCACCAAAAACCAACCATACGATTTCCCCCGAGCTCCCCTAATTCCCCCGCCCCCCCAGCGGCCCCCCGCTACCGTCGTCCGCCCGACGCCGCCCACCCCCCGTTTTCCGAGCTGGCGTGGCGACGCAAACTCACAAATATTTACTTCCTATACATCAAGAGGAAAGGGGGCCCCCCTTTCGTGGAATGCGGCAACATGGGCGTGTTTGACCGCGGAGTTCAGATGCTGCTGACCACGGTGGGGGCCTTCGCCGCCTTCAGCCTCATGACCATCGCCGTGGGGACAGACTACTGGCTGTACTCACGCGGCGTCTGCAAGATCAAGAGCACCAACGAGAACGAGACCAGCAAGAAGAACGAGGAGGTGATGACGCACTCGGGCCTCTGGAGGACCTGCTGCCTGGAAGGTGAGCAAGGAGATACTGAAGAAGCCATATATACATGCAGAGCTACACCAACAACACCCCGCTCAGGCACACAAGCAGATCGATCCCTGCGTGCCCACACACACATTCACACAGTCCTGCATTTGCACTCACATGCCTACACATACGCTCACATGCCCACACGATTCTGTATGTGCTCTGCATCCATTTCCACACATTCAACGCTCGCACTATCTCACATACACTCCATCTATCTATCTATCTATCTATCTATCTATCTATCTATCTATCTATCTATCTATCTATCTATCTATCTATCTATCTATCTATCTGTCTATCTATACATGTTACGTTTTTGCGTGCTGAAATGAATGCAGCTTCTTCCCACAAGATCATTTGGCTGACACGTCCGCCAGGGTTCGGGCCGTCCTTTTGGTCTGTCATGGCCAGTGTGTGCAGAATGGTCTTTTAATTGTCCCAGCAGAGAGCAGCTCGGCCCACTTAGCAAACAGCCACACCAGACTACACAGGGCACACATGGTCCAGCCAGGTGCACGGCTAATTCTAATGGCCACCGAGCCCTGCCATGAGCGCATAATTGCTGCCATTTACACTCTGTCCGAGGAAATGAAGAAGAAAAAAAATATGTAAAAAAAAAAGAAAAATTCACAAGGTTGTCTTGCCCTCGTCGTCGTCGTCGTCATTGTACCAGCCTTGCACTAGACTGAAGGGAATCGGGATCAGATTCCATAGCTTTCAAAGTCGGCTGTGCGATTCAGTCCAGTCGAGGGTTTGTTTTATTTTATTTTGAGTAGAAATTCCACCCTTTGTTGCCTCTTTAATACATGTGGCGGACGTTGTTCTTGGTTCCAGTGACAAACAGGTGACAGCCAGTGAGCAGCATCAGCAGTAAAGGTAGTTACGACAAACTAAATCTGCATTCTTACTCGCAGTGTGGTCAGAATGTGACTGTTGAAATCTGATGAATGTTGTGTTCTGGCATAGAATGAGGGGCATGGATTGTGTCGTTCCTTTCTGGTAGAAGGCCGACATTAAGAAATGGACTCACGTAGATGCAGCATGAAGGGTTATGGAAGAAAACCCACATTTGTAAAGAAGTTCAAACAACTCAAAAAGGATCATTAAGTGAACTTGAATCCTCACTGCACCACATGCAGCCTCGTCTATAACCTCAGTCAGGTCTAAAAATAAAATAGATCACTGGGTTCATACTGAGGAATTCAATTTTTTTTTGGACATTTCTGGACAGCTGCAGCTACAAAAAAATGCTACGCTTGAATGCTAGGGGCCTGAGATGGACAGAAAACTGCTTTAAATGTGGCGTAGACGTGTCTTTTGTGGGGACGAAGAGAAGCAGTCGATGGAGAGACAGATAGAGATGAAAGCACGTGTGACTGTGAGTTGAATCATACAAAGGGAAAAAAAAAAAGTCTCTTTATGTGTGAAAGCACACATTTGACACACTGCAGAGGGTCACGTCGCGCACACACGCAACTCTGGTTCAATCACAGAGTACCAGACTGCAGATTCACCTGATTCACGGGACAAAGCCATGTGCTGATGACATAGATTCGGTGCATTTGTAGGATTTCTCCCATGGCTGACTGTCTGAGTGCAACACTAGCTGCTGTTTTCACTCTGTGTAACTCACATACGACCGCTTCCGGTTGTCATTTTGGGAATTGTCAATACCTGAAAGTCTTAGCAGCGCTTATGATGCGGACTGACATGTTGCTGAGCTACATGTTTCTCCGTGGCGTGATGTGTGTCACGGAGAAGCACCTGCCTGTTACTCATGCACTTAATTCGTGTGTGTTTGTTTGTGTGTATGCGGCCGCGGCGTGGACGCCGTGACGTGACTCCCCCTGATTGCGAGCTCACATTGTCACATCGGTCGAGCCATGCAGCCCGATCCTGTCACACACCTTGTTATTCATCCTCGCGAGGCCCCGGTGTATCATTAAGAGCTATTGTAAGGCCAACTGGAATGGGCTTGTCACCGCAGATCATCGGTAACCTTAAAGCTTTGGCAGCATGTATAGCTCCAGTCAGGTGGTTATCTTCATCTATTCCACGTAAGTAATGCAGATTTGTTTTTGGGAGCGGTCTTTACAACATTACCAACAAACAACTAAGAGTTCAAATGAAGCACAACTCCTGCATAATTCCCATAAAACCCCCCGATCCTGAGGCACTGAAGGTTGCCGCTGCTGTTTGATCACCAATTATCTCCTTATGTTTGTCAGCTGCATCCTGCCGTTTGACTTCTTGACATTAAACTCCGATCCCCTGGCCTAAACTTAGCCACCTCTTTAAAGTTTCAAAGCCACTCGTCCTCCCATCTGAGGCTTTCGGGTTCAAGACATGCGATTTTCTGCGCATATCGCAGCGCATCATGTGGTAGGTGAAGCTGAAACCGTGTATCAGACAAACAGCTGTTTCTAAAGAAGCACAGCAGAACATTCCCTGGCACTACTGTCTCTGCTCTATATTTATTCAGTTAGCTAGCTTTCATGCATGCTCGCTGCTGTACAACATGCTCGTTCTCTTCTCCCTGCGAAATCTGCATCACTGTATATTCCTTAAACTTGTTCATTTTTTTGTACTATTCGGTATTTCTAAAGTCCCATCATATAGGCTTTAACAGCTTTGACGCAGGACGAGACAAAGGAAAGACATTATAACCGGTTACACTTGTCTCCATCAGTTTCGTAATTGATTTTTCTCTTTTTTTTTTTACGACTCTCAAGCTTTCCCTTGCCCCCGGCTACATTTTTACATATCGATCCTGTATGGGGTGAAAAGGTCAGGCCTTGTGCTGACACTGTCATGTCTATGTCATCCCCTTATGCAAGCCTACGGTACAGAAAAGAGAGGAGAGGGGGAAAAAAAAGGTGTCTTTTCAAAAATCTCCAAATTGGCTCATGAGATGCAGGATCAAAAACAAACAAGGAAGTGTGATACACAGAGATTATTCAGAGATGTATCAGTCCAGGCACAAGATGTAGTGAGTTAAACACCAGCTACAAATGCAAAGAAGCTTCTATGATTGCAGGATGGCATCCAGCTTCAGTGGAGGTGATGGCAGAAGACAAGTAGCAGGGCATTAGCGTTGCAGTAGGAGCCACGTTTCATCACCTGCAAGAAAAAGTAGCCGACAAAGCAGCAGAACTGAAAACCAACAAGCTCATTTACAGATAAAAGCGTCTTCTTATCGGAGAAGTTTATGCTTAAGTGAAAGATAACACTGGCTGTGCCGCCTGTGGAAAAATGAGGTTCCGACTGATCGGGCTGCCACCACAGGCAGCTGAGGAGCTAATGCCAGCTGTATACAACCTGTGCAAAGAGGCTGTGAAAAGCAGACAACTGCTGGGTGTCAGCTTCACTCACCGACAACGCTGATCTTTAGTTTTTCCTCATAGAAGGCAAACAGGGATTTACTCCTGTTGTGCACTTTGTTGTGGTGTTCTCTCCACCCCGCAGCACTCCTATCGATGGTAACACCGAAACAGAGAGCGACTTGTTTCCATCGTCTCCTTTGGATTGGCCGGTTTTTCTCAGGTGTGATAAGCAGCGATCGGCCATGTGTCCACGTTATGTAATCGTTTTTTTTTTTTTTTTTAAGAACAGGTCACGGAAATAAACGTATCGCTACCTCCGCTGGTCGGCCGGGACGAAACGTGTTTATTTTAAAGACAGAAGACATCAAATCTTGGCAGAAATGGCGGAATTGTGTCAAATCACCAACACATTTGTCGATGTGAACGCAGCCACGCCAACTCACTCCATGTGATATGCTTATTTTCCTCGCTAAGTGGCTTTACTTTTCACACTCTAAGCTTGCTCGGTGTCCTTGGCACCAGAGATTTGAAATGGTTAAGAGCAGAGAGGAATCTGAGAGAGATCCAGCTTGCTCCGTGTGCTTCGCCTTCAGAGCTACAGTTGCTTTATAGCTGTGTGGTGCAGAGAAGAGAATGAGAGGGAGGACGAGAAAAAAATTGGGAGGTGTTGAGAAAGAGAAAAAAGAAGAAGAAGAGAGAGAGAGAGAGGGGGGGGAGAACAAGAGAGAGGAAGAGCAGGCAGGCCTGGTTTGCTGTCACACCCCCTCAGGCATCCTGTGCTATCTTTAACACACAGGCCCACGTTCTATCTAACCTATCTTGCCCCGGCTTTTAACATAATACGTCACAGTGTATGATTTTATTTTAATGCTCAGGACACGATGTGCACGATTTGCACATACGAGTGAGCGACTGTTCCTGTCGTCGCGGCGACACTAAACAGCAGAAGATCACATGTGGCGCTTCCACGTCGGGCCTTTGGTTCCGTATCGCAGGATCTGATCGTGTTTCTGCTTTAGCGCTCGGGCCCAAATGCGAGAGCGTCTGTGCGCGTGAAAGCAGGCTGTCTCCGAACCGGAGTGCATTACGGCGATGACATTAATTATGCTAATAGCCAACAGCTCCGGTAGCTTTTGCCGCGCTGATCGTCAACAGAGCCTCTCCACGCTGCCTCTTTATCTAAAGCTCCAGCTAGTGATACGCCAGGATAGGGAGTAACTAATTACATGGAATCAGATTACAAAAATAATCTGCTGCCACAAAAGAAAAATGCAGACCACCTCTTTATCTAAAGCTCCAGTAAGTGGTTCAGTGGGTGGGGAGCACAAATGACATGTAATCTGGTTACTGAAGTAATCTGATGGGAAGAAAAAAAATCATATGATCTCTCATATCAAGCAGCAGTCAGGCCACCGCTGTAGATCGGGACGATAACTGCATGTTAGCTGATTGCAGCAAAACCACAAACATTATCGGACGCTTGATACGTGGAGCTTGAGACGATGATTACAAGCAGATTTATTCAAAAGTCACCCGATTATGCATGATCTGGGATTAATGCGCTCCCAGACAGGAGAAAACTACACACACAGACAAACGAAGTGATGATTTAAGTAAACTCTGTTCGATTCACAGCTTTTGTTGCCTCTTGTTTTGTCT